CAAGATGGGAGTTCTAGGCGTTGTAGTGGTATGGGCGGGGGGTGGGTGGTGCATTCTTTGTGTGATGTTTTGCATTCTTGGGGATGGGATGGGATGAACGGGGCGTTGTAAAGAGGACTATGGAGGGGAGGTATCTGGATTGAATTGACTTGTATGGTATTATACTTGTAGGTAGGATGTTAAGTTACAATATGGACATTTGATTACTACAGATGGTTGAAGATAATAAACTGAATTTTGGACTGTATAGAGGGTTAACTATAAGATCTCTTGCCTCAGGCAAACATCATCCATCCATCGTAACTATCTATCCCTACCCTACATGACCACCACTACCTCACACTCACACTCACACTTAAATAGACACAGCTACAGCTACAGTAGATAAGTCTAGATAATAAACAGACCCTTAATCCCAACTCATCTCAACTAATTCACCTCAAACGAATTCCCCATCTCCTCTCTCTCCCCACTCCACATCACTCCACTCTCTCATCCCCTACAGATAGATAATATCTCCCAAGAATGCTTAACTTCGGTACCTATCACACTATTTACCCGCGGGATCAGCGGCAAATCTCTCACCAGTCAGTTACAGACGCCCTAAAACTGAAGAATATAGGCATTGTTCTGATGCAAGGGATACCTGTACCCTTTATACTGTGTACCATACGGAGTACTTGGTATACTACTTACGTAGTATGTATCGCCACAATACTGTACATCCCTTTATCTCTTTTTTTTTACCTGTCTAGCTGGATACTAAGTTGTGGGTGGGTGTGGGATTGAGTTTCTGGGGTAGGTTAGTCACTTTATTAGTTACTTATTTTCTGTATTCAGGGTCTGGTAACCATGACAAGAAGACAGCTATGTAGTTAGGTTTGTAGTTGTAAGCAGGGGATAATACTTAGGGGGAGGAAAGGGGGTGCCGGAAGTATTCTTAGAATGTTCGATGCATAACTTATTACCCTTGCCCCAGTATGTATTACTTACCTACCTATTTCTCCTTTCTATGATTATCTTACTCCGTAGAGGGTGGAGGGGGGCTAATTTTATTCTTGTTTTACTCTGTATACCTTGAAAAGTAAGTAAAATGAAGAATGTGCCGTGCAACGGAGTACATACATACCTACGTTATTCCCGGAGTATCTAATATCTATCTATCTTAGTATAATACTTACTCCGTAGGCGAAAAAGTATCAATAACTATATCCAAACTATTATCTCATTGTTGCAACTTGCAGTATTTCTATTCTGGGTAACCCGATGATAGTTAGGTTACTAACCCCGAAAAAAGAAACAAAACAAAATGGGGCCAGCCAGCCTAGCTAGCCCGCCAAGTTGGGGCCGATCGGTGATCCAAGCCACCACCACCATTTCCACTTACCAACACTTTAGTCTAACCCCCATATGGGGATGACGAATGCACAAAGTTAATTCATCGGTTACAAGTTACAGCTGTGTAATAATGGTGATTATAGTATTCTATAGTATAGCTATGTATATAGCATGGTTTCATGCAGTCAGCATTCGGTGCAGCGGGTGGTTACATACTTACATACGCCCTGTTTTGGGTACCTACAGATGTGGCATATGTAGCTTGCTTTGTGGTGTACATACGTAAGGCTTTCGGTGCCACCTAGACTATACTATAGTATAGCCAAGTAATGTATGTAGGTATGATTGCCCAACAATTCTTCGGAGAATATCGCGTCACTCCTTTAGTCCGTCCAAGTCAGAAAGGGGAGTGAGGGAGCAGCATATTTGCTTCTGTGACGGATAAAACTAACTTAACTAGTATTACTCGCCTTACTAGTTGAGCTGGACCTGCCAGGGGGGAATGTGTCACCCGCGGCGCGTAACTTACTAGCAATGCTTCCAATCAGTTTCCGGCACATAACATAAGGCTGTCACATTTGTGTGGATATTACTCCCCCCCATTCAAGGGCCAGTAACTATCTAGCATAGCATAGCGTAAGATAGTTGTCGTGCCACAGAATTCCACCCGATCTGCATTTCAGATTTGCACGGGCGAAAAACCGTTTGTTCAGTTTCCAATTTCGAATTGGGAAGAGGGCCGAAATCGAACTTTCTTCTTTCTCCTCCTCCTGCAGGGCGTTTCGTAGTTTTCTCCATATATCTAGACTTGTTTTCTCTGACCGGTCTTTTTTCTTTCTTTCTCTCTCTTCTCTTCCTTCTTCTTACTTCTTCATCTTCTGTTCCTTGTTTTTTAGTATTCTTTTTATTGTTTTTCTTTTCTTGATGCGCCCAATGCCCTGCTGCTGCTGCTGCTGCTAATTAAGAGCTTTTTTTGTTCTGCTGCCGACTAGTCCCTCCTTTGGTTCTCACTCAGTTACTTACTGACCTCACGCTCACTCACTCGCTCACTCGCTCGCTTCTTGTGTTTCGTGTTTCGGTGTTGCCGCTCGTTCTAAACTAAGCCCTACATACCTCTTTGTCACTCGTTTCATATTGTCACATCGCCATTGTCGTCATCGTCATCATCATCATCGTCATTGTGATTGATAGACAGCCACTCGCTTTTTGTTGATCGATCTGCTTGTTGCTTGAACTAGCACCATCTTTGCTTTTTTGTGTTTCTTAATTGGCATCGGTCCCTGCCTTGTAGATAGTGACCGATCTCGATCTCTCCTTCATTCCCACCTAACGACACTCGCTTTTATCATCATCATCACCACCACCACCACCACCAGAACAACAAACACCTGAAGTCACTATGGAGTGTTTTCGGCAGATAGCTCGACTTGTCAAGTCTCCCTTTCGGCGCGAGAAGCAGCAGAAGGTGCTGGAGATTGTGAGTCCAACTGCTTATGATCCCGTGGTGTTTCTCCCCATGCTAATGCAGTGTGCTTTAGGGACCCCCAACCGACTTTCGGAAAGAGGAATTGCCCGCGTTCTTCTCGGATGACGAGTCAGTACTCTCACATCTTGACCATTCTGCTACCCATCTAACCATCTGCAGTGCGGCAACCTTGCACAGCCGGGGTTCCACCCTAGAGAAGGAGAAGGAAGCGGCGGCCACCGCCATGGAACGTCAACCATCGACACGAGACAAGATCAAGACGCATGTCCGGAGGCTGAGCGTCCGGGTTGCGAGACCAGTTTCTGATGCCCACGATGAGCAATGAGCCGATCGAATCGATGCCAGCTGCACATGCCGGTTGCATATCAGCATCACATCAACATCAACATCATCGACAGTTTATCTCGTTACGCAAGCATGGAAACCTCATCATAAATTCTCCTCTCAGCGTGAATCACGGTCTGCAACGTCAAAACAAGAATGTTGGAACTTCATTGAGACGCGATTTCTTTGCCTTTGGATCCGGGCCTCGTGGATTTGGTGCTCTTCGACCTAATGACGGGGATGATATCGGGCCCTGCATCTGATTGCTTGACCGAGACGGCTCTGGAAGCCCGTCAAAGTCATCATCGAATATTAATCTCTTCTTGGATTTGGTCGCCCTCGGTGTACTGTATCTACCACTCATAGACTGCACTCTTCTGATTCCACTGTCCCCTGTAGATCGATTATTCATCGGGCTGCTTCGCGAGCTAGCAGCAGTAGGCATAGGCGTAGGCGTAGCAGTACGATGCTGATGCTGTACACGACTCGGCCCCGTCAGGGTCCTCGTCCGTGCGTCTAGATCGTCGTCATCCGTCGTTTCATCCAGTTGATCGCTGTCCTCCATCGCATCCTGTCGCTCCCTTGCCGCCCCATCGGTAACCGCGCTGCTCCCTGCTGACGCCCCCAGTCCAGCAGCCGCCCGCGTCGTCGACTTGATACCCTGCATGCCGACTAACGACCGCGCCTTTCGTGGACTAATCAGCAGATCATGCAGCGACGTACCCACCCAAGTATCATCCTCCTGATCATCATCATCCTCCTCCTCTTCCGAATCCACAGCAGGTCGTCCACCCTCCACCATCTTCTGCAGCCCCTCCTTCTGCTGAGCGGACAGATCCTCCGCCGCAGCCTTGCGTTTAGCTTCCTCGCTCTGCGCAGTTACGCCATCGGTCGGTCGAGCGATATTCTGTATGGTGGTGGCATTCTGCAGCTTGGCTTCTTTCTTCCGTCGGACGTATTCTGCGTAGTGTAGGTGTTGGGTGAAGGTTTGCGCGACCGCGTAGAATTCGTCTTCGACCATCATGTATATGTCGTCGTTGTCGAAGCCTTCGCGGAGGTATCTTCACATGTTATCAGCCTCTGCGATCTTTCCTAATATATAGCTATGGTATGATCACGTACTCTTCAGACGGGCAGCGATGGATGGGAGAGGACGGCGGCGTAGGAGCTATAGCAAGGTGTCAGTGACCTCAGTATACTTAACTTGCAAAGAGAGTCAGAGGTAAGGTACATACAAGACCGCATGAAATCGCGCTTCTTCATCCTCGACCCTGGAGTCATCGCCGCCTCGGCTTTTGGTGTCACATCGTTGTCTTCTTCTTCTGCTTCTTCCTCCTTGGCTCTGCTCTCGCGCTTCACGGTTCGACGCGGTGTATCTGAAGAAGAGGCCTTTGGTTCTCGTTTAATTGTTGTCGTTGCTGCGTTCATCAGCCATGGTAGGTTGCGGGGCATTTCGTCTCTGGTTAAGATAGTGCTTATGAGAAATTAAACATTAGTTGAGTATTAAGTGAGGAAAGTATGTATGGAATGAATAGGGAGGATCTGTACTCCGTACTGGACGGACGATGGTGGTGTCTTGCGACCGCTGATACGCGGCTTCTCCCCGCCTCCGCACGGATTGGTTATCTAAGTCACTTTAGTTGGTGGAGATCCACTTGTCAGCCTCATGATGTTGATATGCTTGTCTGTTTGAATGAATCGTTGATGATTGGTTTCACATGTGTGAAGGGTGTCTCTTTGGAAAGAGGCTATTATTTCTGTGGGATTTATATTGTGGCCATTTTAGCAATGTGTGCTCTGCAAGCAGTACAACTGTCTATAACCTATGACTCGTCTGCCTCATATGGTGTAGCGGGTATCTGATTTCAATCTATTCTAATATCACCATAATGAATCCATAATACAGCCTCGTATGCTAACGCGAAACGCCGAAAATATGATAAAGCCCCATATCGAGCAACTTGCCATGGCCCTGGCAGAAAGAGTAATCCACATGAAGAGGAAAAAAGTGAACGAACAACGCCTATCAGAACAACTGGCAGAAGGAGAAGAAATCGAAGTAAACAAGTGAGGTAACGAGAGCATCAGCCGATGACGCAAAGTGAATATGCTTCACCCTTACGCTTCACCAGGCCTCTTGCTATTGCAGCTCACAATCTTCACCTTATCCGCGGAGACCGTAGTCTGGTTGTCCAGCTTAAACGTAACATCCTTGATCAGGAATGTCCACACTTCATCGCAGAATCGGTAGGTATCGAGGTGTCCCTGTGGTGGTAAGAAGAGCTATGTCAGCCTCATTCGCCTCCTTCATCTTCCTCAGACGCAGCCTTCCTTATCCTCATATGTAAGCGTACCTTGAAGGTCAGACGAGCGCGCACTTTGTCCGCCAGCACTTCTGTGATCACGCGATCGAAAGTTGAGAGGATCTTCATGGCGAGCTGAGGCTCGATCCGTCCTTCGTTGATCAGGTCATCGAGGGTATCGGTCAGGGAGAGTCCGAGGCTGTTGCAGAGGTGTTAGTAGTACTTCCTGACATGTAGTCGCTGACCCTGTCATACCTGCTCCCGCGATAGAGCTCGTAGTATGCCTGGGCGCTCATTGTGAAGTTGGCAGTGAGGCGACAAGGGAGATTAAGAGAGTGGAAGTGGAGCCGATGATTGCGATCAGTTGGTCGCCGGGGGTATCTGCACGTGATCTAGATCATGTGATGGACAGGAGCCATTACATCAATGGATGGGCCAGCAGTGTCAGGTTTTCGACATTATTCTCAGTCAAAAGGCTACCTTTGAGGTTAATGCAATGAGTTTGTCTTCAATGTTATCATCTCCACTGCTTGTCCGGACAGCTCGTCTGTCAAACGCTTCTTTCGGAGCACGGTATATAGCTTCAACCGCTTATAAACTCGCAGAAACAAAAGGTCAGTAAGATAGTGATTCCGAATTGAATATACTGTTCACATTCAAGACTAATCGAAATATAGCTCAAGATTCGTCGCACCAAAAGCAATCGAATGATGCATCAGATGACCAATCAGCATCGAAGCTCAAGCAAGACAAAACCAAAAGCGTTGCTCAGGCGGATCAAGAGCTCCGAGAGCGGCTCGAGCAAATGTCTGGCGGTGGTGGTGCTTCGGGAATTGAGTATGAAGATGGAAAACCTAGCGCCATGAAGCGCAGCGTGCGAAACAACATGTTCCGCTATATCTGAGCCGGAGAAGTGAGCTACGTCAAGGAGCATCCCATTATGTCGTCGTGGTGTGTCGACAGGGCCGAACAAAGCCTACGATGGCTACTTTATCCATAACAGCTGTTAGACTGAGTACAAGTCGAGGCATTGGCGACTGGTGGCCAGCTTAGCTGAGCTAGGGCCGCAGTCTCTGATTTGACCGACTTGTAAACCCTCCCAGCTGTGCTGGACATCTCCTGACAATGATGGACGGCGCTGTGCTCCATCAGGAATGTTGTCCCATACGAACACTGGACGGTGCACAGGGAGGCACGTCAAGAACCATACTAGTTTGGTCGGATGGATACCCGTCAAAAGTCTGTCAATCTCTGCTGCGTCCTATGTATGATAATGGCCAAAGGGGGCATAAACAAGACCAGGCCAGCATTCGCTTGGAAAGGACATGCCTGCATGTAGGCTCTATATACCATGATTACAAACCATAGACTCCAATAAACGCTCGCCACCAATCAAGGCGCCAATATTTTCCGCTATCAGTAGTGTGATGAGGGCCCTACCTAATGTTCACCTGTTGCCCACCATTCCTGCAAGGACACCAGCACCAATGACACCGCCGTCCGAGGCTTCCCGTAAGAAAACCGACTTACCGCTCTTCTGCGGGCCGGTCCTCATGATAAGCCTGTCAATATATTGCTGGCATGTCTCCTTGAAATTGGGGTAATGCTGGATGATGCCTCCAGTGTACGCCACGACCAGCTCCTCAGGGCCTGACTGCCAGTCGGCGGGAGTGGGAGTGGGAGATAGGACAGGAACAACCCTACCATCTCTCGGACTTGCTCCCTCCGGAACCAAGGATGATGGGGAAAGACTAGTATTTACGGCGGCCAGATCCGGAGTGCCATTGTACTCAGGCAAAGAGACATTGGCATTCTGCGGCGAACCTTCGTGGCTGTCCACTTTCAGCTCAATCTCCTGCGCACAAGCAAGCAAACCCACAACCGCTGCGGCTATCAACCCGGCGGATCGTCTCTGAACCGTCCTGGCGATCTTGCGAAATACGTTTGCCGACACAGCATCCCAATGCCACTCGCTGTTCTCCGGCGGGGGCATGGAGCGTGAAAGTTCATCGGCAAGCTCCTGGTCCGACCGAGCACGGGCAACATTATCCGAGACGTAAGTTGTCGTCAGGGCATACTCCTGGATGAGGGTCGCGGGCAATACTTTCTTAGACAGCCCACTTACATTGGTAAGAAAATCATATAGGATAAGCCGGATGAGCTCTCCAATATACCGACCACCCGTCAAGTATTCGAAAGGCTGGAATCCGGGTCGCGCGCACGCCCGATCGAGCTCCACATCCCATTTTGTTATGATGTTGAGTTCCTTCAATGGCGGGTCGGCACCCGCGATCGTCCATTCGGTGTTCACGACCGTCTCCTCCGCCCGCGGGTCCTTTGATTTCACATGCTTCGCCTTGGACTCATGCAGCATATTCAAATTCATGGGAATTGTGGCATTGCAGCCGGTACCCACAATGATGCCCATAGCTACTCGACTATTGGGCAGGGATTTGACAGCATAAGCAAGGGAAGCAAGTGTAGCAACTGTATCGTTCGTGATAGCTGCTATCTTGAGTTTTGGGAGTTCAAAGAGCTTCCGACGTTTGCTTGAAGGCTCCGACTCGTTATCTAGGCGCCTTGTATGTTTCTCATACCCACTCAGGAGGATCTTGCGCAAGTCAAGGTCTGACGTGATGGCGAATCCTTTGCCCATTGGCATCAGAGTAGCCTCCGTAAGGGATTCTTGCCTGTGGTTGGTCAGATGCAAGCCACACCTTGTAGCATCGCAGCGGAGAAAGGGACACTCACATTATCGGGAAACTAAAGGTAATTCCCATCTCCAATTCGTCTGGAACATGGCCTTTTATGGATTCAGAAGTCAAGCTTTCCGCCACCACTTCCGCAATGCAATCCCCGATCCAAGAAAACAGATCCTCTGCCTTGTCCATCTTTAGGTGTTCTTGTATAGGCCATGCCCTCTCAAGAGTCCGCCTGACACGCTGTCTCTGCGCCCTACGAATGGTGTCGCGCGATCTTTCCGACGCGTCTGTGGAACGTGTGTCTGGCTCTGTAGCCTCCCCCAGTAGTTCGATGAAAGCAACCCGCAGATTGGTCCCACCCACATCAATGGCCAGGTATCGGCCTGTCTCCAGGCCAGAAGGTAACCTAGTCACCGGTGTCGGTAAGAACTGCTCCTTCGAATGAAGGGCCAAATCCCGGTATACGGTGGAAAACCGGCGCGCAAGTTTATACAAAACCGCTTCATCCAAAGCTATGGGAGACAAGTATTCGTCAAGCACGCGCTGGCGCTCCAGATACTCTTTTTGAGAGGGGTCCAAGTCAGCGGTGTCCTCTTCTTCATCCTCCACCGGCTCTTCGTGTAGATGTTCGTGCTCATCATCCCTGCTTGTACGCAGATCTATCGAATTGATTGGGGCCATGATGTGGAAGAGGCTAAGCCCGGCGGCGAGATAGGCAAGCAGTCGGACCGTGTGACTTGCAGCCAGCAAACGGAGGTATTTTTGTACAACGGAGCGGTAAGTCGGCGGAAGGAAGTGCCCAAGGATTGGCTTTATCTACTCGCCCCTGCGGAATGTTTTGAAGCGAAGGTAGGACGGGATGTGGGGGAGATCAAGAATGAGGATCCAGCCTTGGGACGATGATAAGGTGCATGCGAACCGAGGATACCACGATGGTAAAAGGATAGCCAGGAAGTGATTTTGAATTGGGGGAGGGTGCGCTTAATGATGATTCACTTCCGTAATGGCCAGAGCAGGAGCGGTGAGTTGTTCAGGGGAGGGAATGAGGGAGGGGGAAGTGTTATCTTGCAGGTTAAATCTATACAGTGACGAGTGCGATGGTCAGTCTCAAGGTTACATACACTGATGAACAACGGATGGTCAGGTCTCAACATTGTCGAGTGCAGTGACGCGTGTCTGGCAAATAGGATCATGGAGTCACAGAAAATGCTAAGAATGGTACAACGGTGACGATCCTAATGCAGGGAGACATTGGGTAATGCACTGCAAGAGCAGGGGGACGATGTATTCACTCGGAAGGGGAGGGAAGAGGGGAGGGGGTGGGAGCGCAAAAAGTAACAATGACACGGACAATGACATACAACCAAGAAGAGTTGCGCTGGTGGAGATCCCGCAGTTATGCTCGTTCTAAGCCCCGAAGTTAGAATAAGGCTGAGCCGAGGGTCGGTGTTGATAATGAAAAATAAAAAGTAGTTGATTAAATCAACCAAAATCAATCAATATTATTTTTCGGTAAAATATCGATCAATCAAAAATTCTTGGGGAGGTATGCTCGTTTAAGGATGAGGATCGACGGAAGAATGGCGGAACCCATCAATTAAGTATTATGATCATTACGACAAAAAGTAACAACTGGGCCAGCAGGTGGATAAGAGGAAAGCATTGCCGGGTCTCCACACACGGGAGAGAGGAAAGCGATGAGGGGAGAGGAGGAGTAAGAGAGAGAGAGGGAGAGGGAAAAGTAGCGAAGAGGTGTATTTTGGAGAGGTCGTAATTGGGGGGAAAGAAAGAAAAGGGCGAAGACTAGTTACTACTTAGTGACTTTGCTAAGTTACTGCTAAGTTACAAAGGCAAAATCTCCAGAGCCGCTGGGATGGAGCCAATGCGACCATCGACAACCAGACGATGTGACGCTGGCCGGTCAGTCGACTACCATGGATTCGTCCGATGGCTCGATCGGGGCCCCAGTCCGGGTCCCTCAAGGTAGACCCAGAGATTCAATTGCCCATTTCTGGTCTCCCATTGATTGATGATGATGATGGGATTCTCCTGCTTGTTTACTCGTGCTTTTTTCCTATTTTTTTTTTTTTTTTCTCTCCTTCGTCGTGGTTATTTCCCCTCCGGGGCAGCGCCGTTTCCTTCTTCCTCTTTCCCCCCAATTGATTGACCAACGTCACCTTCTCCTCTTCTTCTCTCTTGCTTCCTTATCGGAGACGCCGCTACTACTTTAGTGCAAGTCAACTATGAAAACAATGGTGCTGTTTTCCCATCTCATCTCAATTATCTATTCTATTCCATTCAGGGAATTATCTCCCTCTCATTCCATTCCTTCCGCTTACTACTTTTCTCCCTCTACTACTCCGCTCTGGCTACTACTGACCGTTTCTATCTCTAGTAATCATCCATTTTCTATTCAGACAAGTCCTCATCGATGTGTATAGTAGGGACTTTCTGGACAACTTCGAAATCTCTCGGTGGTTTTCACGAGCGACAAACGCGCCTGTCTATTTCACAAATAACTGGGAAAGAGATGGAGAGCCAAAAGCTAAGAAATTAATTGCAAAAATAAACGAAACTTGGTGCCAAATAAACCATGTGGTGGGAAAGTGGGGCGATACCTCCATCTGTGATGCACAGACTTGAACATCAATGCCCGTCGAGTCAGAACCCGGTGGCTCTCCCACCTTAGTCTACTCAGGGCGTTGTCCTCCACCTCTCCCATTTGTTGCTGATACCGTGTAGGTGGATAAAGAAGCGTAAGAGAGAACGGTGCTTCGGCCTCTTCGCTTGCCTGGACGCGGTGGTATTTGGCACACGAAGTCCCGTTCTGCCTCTCCGGCTCAACCGTTATTTGGGAAAGCTAAGTGGCATCAGGCCCCCGTATTCCAGCCACACCTTCATCAACTGACCCTGGATTGTCAAGTAACAATAAGCTCGTCGGTTCACGGCGTACAAGATCCAGATTCATCATCAAGACGTTTATGGAATCCATGCTCCAAATTTCCATGGCGATAGTGAGATCGTTGTGGACCCTGAGATGGTGTGGTACCGATTACTGGCTGTCCAGCTCTTTGTGGAAAAAAAGCTCGCTAGCATCGTGTAGTAAACATACGACCGTAAGCACGATTATCTGGCTTATTAGGGGTAGGACCTTCGCAGACGGTGTCTGGATTCATCATCACTGTAACCGTCAAGTGTCGATGTCAGACACTAGACTCCGAGGTCGGAGAGCCGTTGAGTGACGGCGGAGCAGGGAAAATTAGCCTGCGGAGTGCGGAGCTCCCGAGATATCCAGCAGGCAGACGTCCCTGGGATCTGCGTGATAGGGGTAGTTTAGGGACCGGCAGACCCTGCAACAGCAGAAATAGGCATTGGGGGTCACTCCCTGGAACCCCAAGCGCCGCTTTACAGCTGTTCTTCACAACGGTAGGCAGGGAAACACTCTGTGCCTCACCTTCGGATCGATTCTGGCATTGTGATCGTCAAGACTACATTCATATCAAGCTCTTTTTGGTGCCTACTCCGTAGTGCGTGAGTACTAGTCAAGTGGAGTCTTCCGAGTACCAACAATTTGCATATTAGCTGGCATGAGGCCTTCGCAAGCGCTGATGATAGGCCCAAAGTTGCCGTTCACCGGTTATTCTATGACCCTATCTGCAATCTATCCAACATTATTAGTCTGTGACTAGCGAACAATCACGCCATGTGATAGACCTTTCGGTAGCGCTTGGAGGGTTGCAGGTATCATGCGCTCTTGGATGTACTGCCCGATGCTGGCCATCACAATGCGACTAACCCTCGCGAGCAGACCGGTATCCGTCAAGCAAACGTTCACCGACGCTGCAAGAATACCATGCAAGGCCGTGACTGGAGTAAGTACACCCTAGTCACCAAGCTAGCTGATGCCAAGCATTTATGCTTGCATCTTAACAGTGACAGCAAGCATGATTCGTACACAATCCATATTATACAGTCTGCCCCCCTTGATCTAATTGGCTTTGAAACATTGAAGGCTGGGACAGAGGCCAAACTACTCCGTAGTGATAGTGCAATGCCGGGGTAGCAATGGTCCACAGTCGGACAGGCTCGCTTTCGCAGATACTACGTCTAGTCTGCTAAGCAGGTTAGAGTAGGATGTACAGTATGGGAGGAGTGGAGTAGTCTTCAAGGTAGTTAATTAGACTCTACGGAATGATGCAACCTCAGGCCATGCATGATTCTTCGACGGCAGTCCAATGTAGGAAGGGATCGGAGAGGTTAGTACGGCCCACGGTAGACATCACAAGGCAGCTCAGAAGGGATGCTCCAAAGAGTCAATTAGAGCCTATCATCCAAATGGTCGCCATCTGTGGATGAAGCTCTTCACCTGGTAAGGCTGTTTGGGTTGGACCGGGGAGGAAGGGCATCAGTGTAACGAGAGGGCGAAATGCTGGGTTGCTCTCGGAAACCCCCGCCGAATGGTATCGCTGGATCGGATCGCGATCTCCCCACATTCACCTCTGGTCTTACTTTTTTCATCATCCTCCCCTTCACCAATCTCCATCAACCTTCCATTACTGCTACCGTTCAAGTAGCGGGTGGTAGCCAACATGGAAAAACTACCAACTCAATCTAAAGCCGACAGTTCCGGCTATGTCAACCTTTCCGAGTCGTCCGTGGCGCGACCGATCAGCACCCGTCGCGACCGGGTTGTTACTCGGCTGGCCGCATGTCTGGGGCTCGTCACCATCGCCTTCCTAGCTTTATCGTGGACCCCCATCTCCATTTCCGGCCTTAAGCTCTTTTCGTGTCATAGATGGAGAAGACACCATGATTCTTCGTTTCCCCCGGACTTGGGCGCGGAGGAAGCTCCGTTGATGAGTGGCCCACTGCATGAGCTGTCCACCCTCGACGGAAGCCTATCCTCGAGTAACAGAATTCCCCTAGAAGCTCATGTCATGAGTAAATGCCCCGACGCTCGGGACTGTCTCCAACAGCTTGTCCTTCCTGCTATGGAGCAGATCAGCGATAAGGTTGACTTTAAGCTGTCTTTCATCGCCGCGTATGTAGACTTCCTGTCCTTTCGCCTTCCCAGCTGCTCGGAAAACTGACACTGTGCCCAGGGTATCCAACAAGTCATCGGAGATCCAATGCATGCACGGTCCCACCGAATGCATCGGTGACATGCTCATCCTCTGTGCGGCTAATCTGCCTTTTCCGCCTGACTCCGGTGCCATGTGCTCCAAGGAGTCCCGTACTCCAACCATCCGGTCGCTCGGGTTTGCCAACTGCCTTATTAGCTCGTATCCCGATATTCCGAAGCGCGACCTGGTTCAGGGATGTGCTTTGGAGCATGGTATCGACTTTGAGGCTCTGAACAAGTGTGCCAGTCGAGAGTATGATGACCTTGGCGACGACGATGATAGCGACGAGCAGACACCGCTTAGTGGCATTGCTCTGTTGCGCAAGAGTGCACTGCACAGTGAGAAGCTCAATGTCAGGACCAGCTGTACGCTCCGACTGAACGAGTCTACCTGGTGTGTCCGGGATGGTGGTGTCTGGAGGGACTGCGCCCAGGAAGGAGAGGGCAGCAAAGTCTCGGTGCTCGTGGACGAAGTGAAGAAGCTGTGGGACAAGGTCAACTGAGCCTTTGCTGTGCTTGGTAAAATACTAATAATGTGCTATGACTGATGTGACAGCTTTTCCGTGATGCAAATGATGTGTGAGGGCAACCTATGCTATATCCAGTTATGACATGTCTTTAGCCGAACAGTTTGTATGTCTACTACTTAATCATAATCATTGTTTGCTTTCTATCATGCTCGGGTTTCCTTATCTTTACTATTTCATACTGTCTATCCCACCCTGATCATTTTCATCCGTTTGCACTGTTCAATGAGCTCACTCATGCTGTGAACATGCAGCTCTGTGCAATAGTTGCGCGCGCAGACCATACACAAATGCGCCCTGCAAGGCAGACCCGGCAGCAATTCACTATCTGTTAACATTTACCGCCTAGTCTTAATGTGTTGTTGAACAGGTTCGATATCTCTCATCACCACTCTCCTTGACTTTCATACCTCTGCAGTACACCTGTTCACCTGCTCATCAGCAAGTGTACATCTCCATAAGCGTCCCTACCATCGAGAAGTAATTTCTCTCCAGTCTCCATCCCCAAAGCTTCATCTGACCCTCTACCTATAGAAAAGCTCGCCAAGGCAGCAACCATGGCCAGTCGCGACGTCCACACGTCCGAGTTCTTCCAGCGCAAAGTGGACGAGCTCGTAAGGAAGTATGATCGCATCACTGAGCCCAATGCTGTTTTGCAGGCCATCCTTCAGGATCCAGAGAGCATGAGATCTCTCGTCGATGCAATTCAACGCCAGGCATCGCTCGTGAGACACCGGTCTAGGAACGTTGAAGACGCAGAGATTACTGTCTTTGACAATGCTCTAATGATTCTGTCCAATGGTGGCCATGATACCCAAGACGTCGGAGCGCTCGAACTCTACCTGGCTGAATATCTTGGGGTCTGTACTTTTTCACCCATTGCCCATGCTAAACAGGCTTTGCATGACTATGACATCCTTCAAGACACCGTGACCAGAGGTGACTACTTTCCCTTCTTCTTACACCTACATATTTTACATGGATAATTCTCATTGGCTTCACAGCAACTGCATCTCCCAGCATCACCGACGAGGCTACACCTACAGAGGAACAACCCCAGTCTCCCGAGCAAGCGGTCAAGACTCACGCTCAAGACAACGAGCACTCTCGTAGATTGCAGCACATACTTCCTCCAAGACCACCCCCCACACTTGAGGAAGTTCGTCGCCGCGAACAAGTGGAACGACTGATTCAGATGTACGAAAAGGCCAAGGCCGAATACAGCAAGAAGGACCCCGAAGATATTGACATCAGCTTGGCCAAATACTTCCGCGATACATCTGAAAACACGCTTCACTTTCTACGAGTCAATGACATGTCGGACCATCCCTTGATCCCCGATATCGAGAATTCATTCGAACGTGCCAAGGGCAAAGCTGCTCAGTTGGCGGGCCGCGGACGTCACTTCGACGAGCCTCGTGCAACTACTTCCACCCACAATCATCCTCTCAAGAAAAGAAGGGGACGTCGTCACCGATACCGCGAGGTTGACTCCTATCGTCCTGGCAAGCAGTGATGGGAGTGTGGAAAGGCTGCTGTTGCTTGATAGGCAAGGGTTGGTTTAGTTACTGGCGTTTTGAAGCGTTCTAGCCTCGGTGCATTGGGATGGGCGTTTTCCTGTTTTCAATATGGATGCTAGAGCTTTGAATTGAATTGCAGCGTGGAAAAGCGGGGAATGTTAAGAACGGAGAGGCGGGAGGGAGGAAGCGTTTCTGTTAATAAATAACTATCTACGTAGCTGGCTAGTACTTTGTAGTTAAGAAAATGACATGAAGGCTTGGCGCAAATCGCTGCTTTAGCGGCCACCACGTGCCTCCGATCTGCTTTCTCGATGTTGACTTGCTCCAACGCGTGTACGTAAACCTCCGAGCAGTAACAATTCCATCGCATTCAGGGCGAAGCAGTCAATCCCGACCAGCATTTTTGGTAGTGGTCGGGTCGTTAGACTTTCAGGAGGCATGAGTTTCTAAACCATTCCTACCCCTCCCAATCCCCCAAAGATGGCCTCCTTGCGCCCCGGCCCGACCGAGGCCATCTCCGTCTCCAGTGGATCTTCGTCCACTCCTCAGTATACGCCTGTCTCCGACCGCTCCGAGAATGATGCTTCTCCCAATCCAAACCGTCCGGCAGCCGGGTCTCTGAGAGTTCAGACGGCCTTCAGCTCAGATGGGGAGTCGTTTACTGACGACGGGTTCGATGAAGGATATGATTCCTACGATGATGTGCAGCCCCTTTCGAGTAGTAGAATTAGCATGTCAAAGTACACGAAAGAGGAAGAAGATGGAGTCATCAAGCAATTCGATCGCAAATTGGTCCCTTTTCTAGCACTTCTTTATCTACTTTCATTTCTGGATCGTTCAAGTACGTGAATTGTCCTTGGCGCAGCCAAGACCTTCTATACAACCCATCTTAAGATTGATATCAGCTAACATAAGCCAGACATTGGAAATGCTAAAATCGCCGGTCTCGCAGACGACCTGCATCTCTCGTCGTCGCAATATGAATGGCTCCTCACGGCCTTCTACATCACCTACATTCTCTTCGAATGGATGACACTCATGTACAAACTCGTCCCACCGCACATCTACATCGCTCTCTGCGTCTGCGGCTGGGGCCTTGTCGCATCTCTGCAGTCGCTCGCTACTTCATTCGGAGCTCTCGTCTTCCTCCGAGCAGCCCTCGGCATCACCGAAGCAGCATTCGGCCCTGGAGTACCCTTCTACCTCTCACTCTTCTACAAGCGCGAAGAGCTCGCCTTCCGAAACGGCCTCTTCATCTCCGCTGCTCCCCTGGCCTCATCCTTCGCCAGCAGCCTCGCCTGGATCATCGTCCGCGTGAGCGACAACGGCCCAATTGCCCCCTGGCGCACCCTCTTCCTAGTCGAAGGGTTCCCCAGCATCGTCGTCGCCGTCTTCGCCTGGATGCTCATCCCCGATACACCAGGGAGCGCCTCATTCCTGAACCCCCGACAGCGCGCCATCGCGCAGCTGCGCATGGACGAGCTCAAACCCAACCACAAACCACACCAGCAGCAATCGCCGCAGCGCAAAACCTTCAACTGGAGAGAAGTCAAGAAGACACTTACCGATCCCAAATCCTATATCACAGCCGTGAGATCCCTCCCCAGATTACCACCATCTCTACCGTCCACCATCCACTCACAATCATCACAGTTCATGTTCTTCGCCTGCAACGTCGCCTTCAGCTCCATGCCCGTCTTCCTCCCCACCATCATACAAGAGTAAA